CGCCGACGCCGCTGACGGATCGTCCTTGGCGGCGTCGAGCGAGTCGAGGCAGGCTTTCGTCATCGCCAAGTACTTTTGCGCGTTCGTCCAATCGCCGAGGATCGTGGCCGCGCGCGCAATGCTCAAGAGGACGTTCGGGTTGGTCGACATTTCGGTACCGAGCGCGACAAGACCCTTCCCAAAAAGCGACAGCGCCTTCTTGAGCTGGAGGTTACGGCAGCAGAGAGCGATCATGTACTCCCACGTCGACACATCCGGGACCACCTTCCACTTGGGCATGTCGTCGAAGATCTTTTCGGCGTCCGCGACCGCGCCGACTAGGATGCAGCCGCGGAGAAGCGTGTTGACCGTGCGGACATTCAAAAGCACGCGCTTGGTCTCCATCTCCTTGACATACGTGAGCGCCGTCGAGAGCTTTCCTTCGCCGCAGAGACCTTTGAGCAGCGTCGTGTAGGCCACGACGTCGGGCTCGATCTTGGCCGTCTTCATCGCGTTAAAGACACCGACGGCGGCGTCCATTTCGCCGCAGCGCACGCACACGTTCATCATGTTGACGTACGTGTACGAGTTGGCGAGCTTGGCGGCGCGCGCGCGGTCGTACACGTCGTTGGCCTCGGCAAATTGCTTCCGGCTCGCAAACTGCGCGAGCTCCTTGTTGAGCTTGACCGTCTCCGGGTTATCCTTTTGCTTCTTCATCATCGGCTTCTTCGTTGGCGGACCACCTTGTGCGCCATCCGTCGCCTTGCGCTTCTGGAACGGCTTGGTTTGCTCGTTCTTCTTGCCTGCGTGCGGTCCCTTGCTCTGGTTGCCTGCGTTGAACTGGCCCGACGGCTTGCTACCCTTGGGCTGCTCCTGAGCAGGCCGCTTGGACTTGTTAAACTTGGCCTTCGACGCTTCCTTGGGCTTGGACGCTTCCTTGGGCTTGGACGCTTCCTTGGTCTTGGACGCTTCCTTCGCTGCCGGCGCGGCCTTGGGCGCCTGCTTTTCGGTCTGCGGCTTAGCCTTGGCCTTCTTCGCTTGGGCCTTCGCCTGGGGCTTGGTCTCCTGCGGTGTTGTGGACATGGCCGTGGTCGCGCGAAATCCCCGTTGTGTTGCCACCAGTTGTGTTAGACCGGATCATCCGGATAATATTTGAACCGCGCTCTATTCGGCGAGTCCTCTACCTACGCTTGGTACCGCCGAAATTCTTCGTGCATGCGCCGGGCCTAGACGCATTAGCGTCAAGCAACATAACAACAACATGGGCTCAGACGCACCAGGTCGAGCACGCACCGGTCCCGAGAGCTCGTGATGCTACCAGAGAGATGGAAAACCCGTCGATAGGAGGCTCCGTACACTTTAAAGAAGTGGAACGTCGCGTCGTGGCGCTGCTGCTTCATTGCGTGGTACTTAGTGTGCTGCAGCAAGTGCTGGAGGAGCGCTAGGAGCGCCACATATACCGAGGATGCGATCGTATCGCAGAGTCCATCTGCACAGCCAACGTTCAATCCATGGCCGCAGCAAGCACGACAAACCGGAGACGACGATCTTGAGCAATGGGACGACCAGGTTGCAGCCCACAAGCACCGACGTGCCCCAGGAGCTACGATCGGAGTAGCACGTCGCAGCGAGGTCCTGGGACTTACCTTTTGGCCATGAGGTTAAAGATGGGAACGAGCACTTGGAGCATGCTGCACGGAATCATGACTGCAGGTGATGAGCATAGTTCGCATGAGAACGATGGCAATGCATACCAGTGAGAAGTGTGAGCTTGATGAAGATGCTCTCGACAGCCGCGAGGATTGATGGCAAGAGCAAGCACGCGGAGTCCTGCAGGACGCTCCCAAGGGTTGACACAATGCACTTGAGAGTCATCGGATCGGCGTCCGCCTCTAGCTAATGTCGATGCTTGTGACCTCTTCTTCGTACGCATACGTGTCTACCATGTCTTGCAGGAACGAGTCCATCACATGAAGCACGGGAACTTGCGTCGTTGGGTTCAACTGATGGCCATGCGCCAGCGCAAAGGTCGTCGCTTGGACACAGGAAAGAAGAAGATGGCGCTGGCTCGCATGCTCGCGAGAGGTTGCGTCCATCGAGATGGCGAGGTAGTCGTTCTGCAAGCCCGCGACCTGGTTCTCGAGCTCGCGGACCCGCGCATCTTGCTTGTGCAGAGCTGCCGTCGTCGACGCATGCTTGTCCTGGAGCGCTTGTACCTGCTTGAGGAAGCGCGGGAGGTCCCTAGGGTCCATGTCCATGATCTCTCTTCCTCGGTCGCATCCTCATGCTCATGGCAGTACGCTCCGAGGACGTCGGCCAAAAGCTTGTCCGCGCTCATTTCTGTGTTTCGAGAAGATCGCGTTGTGGTCCGGGATAACTCCGGCATCATTTCCAGCTGGTTAAAATATTGCATAAAACAGCCCCGTTCATGGTATTTAATTTCGTGTGTTGAGCTTGGCGCGACACTTTCGGCTAAACAAACGCAGTTTTGGCGCATGAATCTTGGCGTCCAAGCGCAAGCGCCGCAGCGTTGAAGTCCAGCATGTAGTGCAGTTGGACCGATCTATTCCTGCCTGTCACAAGTCGACCTTCAGCGATTCATGCAAGTGTTTCCTTCGTCGAGGCTACTGTGCGCGATTGTCGCAGCCCGTGCCTTCGCACCACGTTCTCAAGCGGCAAAGTTGCGTGCTTTTAGTGCCTGCCAACACGCCTGCCACACATGTCGTCATCGTGCAATATTTTAAAACCATTTCTGCACCTTGATCTTATCCTTTGTATGCCAACATAAATGTAGGTATAAAATGGAGTCGGTGGACGTTTAAACAGGGTAGAATCTGTCCCACGGATGAGCCAATGAGCCCGCGACAGTAAACAGTCTCCAAGTCAACGAAGCAGCGGCAAGTCGCGCTCCGTTCACCTACCGCACTACACGCGTCCAAGGTCCCTCCCGCAGAGACCCACAGATCGTCGTAGCGTTACCCTCCGAACGCTCGCCCACGCCGTCTCTACCTGCTTTATGCTCAAGGACTGCCCGCAACACCAGTGGATCACCGCCCGTAGTCACGAAACCCGCGCCGTCTCCTGTCAACACACGTAAGCGCCTGACGACAACGTATCGAAGAAGAATCAACATGAGCGACGGACGCCTGTCCGCCGCCGCCGAGGGCGATGGCTTCGCGGCCTTGAGCTCGGCGACGCTCGCCCACGTCCTCGGCTACCTCGACGTGCGCGACAAGGTGCGCTTCTTGAGCACGAGCCGCACGAATGCCCGCGAGCCTCTGGTACGTCGCATGCAGTCGTTTTGCGGCGCCTGCGACGCGTGCAAGGCCAAGACCGAGTACCTCTGCGCGTCGTCCCGCGAGCGCGTCTGGACCGCCGAGACGTGGGCCAGCATCTTCCAGCGATTTGGCCGCGGAATCGAAGAGCTGCACCTCGTTGGCTGCGACGGTATCGAGCCGAGTGTCTTTGAATCGCCCGAGGCCCTGGCAATGCTGCAGAACATTGTCGTCCTCCGTCTCGAGCGCTGCGCGAATTTGCCCGTCGCGTCGATCGCAAAGCTTGCCCAGTTTTGCACGCGGCTCCGTGAAGTGCGCCTCCATGATCTTGGCATTGATGACGCGACCGTGTCTGCGATCGTCTCGGCGAACGCGTCGACCTTGCGCGTCCTCGACCTCCAGGGCTGCCATGCGATTACAGGCACTTGTTTGAACGCAGTCGGTGGCTCGGCCGTCGAAGATCTTAGCCTCCAGAACTGCCACAACGTTGCAATGACGCATTTGGAGGCCGCGGCGCCGCTTTGCGGCCACATGAAGCGCCTCAACTTGCGTTTTTGCCACAAGGTGACCGACAGGTACTTTTGCGGACATCGTCGTTGCAAGATTTCTTAGTGTCCGAAACTAGTGTCGTGGCTTGTATTGCAAAGCACATGCCGCTGCTCGAAGACGTCAACCTGCGCTACTGCTACAAGATGACGGACGCTGCCGTCTCGGCGCTCTGCGCGGGCACGCCCAAGCTCCGGAGCTTGAACTTGTCGCAGTGCTGGCGACTCACGGACGCGGCAATCTGGGAGCTCGCCAAATCGCTCTCGTTGCTGAAAGAGCTCCGGCTCTGGGGCTGCATGAAGCTCACGTCGTCGTCCGTCGTCGCGTGCTTGACGCTGCCGAGCCTGACGCTTGTCGACATTCGCAGCCGTGACAAGCTCGAGGCGGTCATTGGAGGCTTTTCGACCGTCAAGCACGTCATGGAGAGCCACCGGTCGACGTTGCTCAAGTGGGAGCAGAGCGGCGACAAGGTCGGCGTCTTCCACCGCAAGGCCTTTGTGCCCCAGCGTGCGCAAGTGCTCCAGCGCTGCTAATGCGATGCATATTCATTGACCGGCTTGAAATTGGCGACGTGCCTTGTATATTTTGATGGATAACACAAATTCATGTCATCTTGCATATCGTTTGACGCCGTGTCATTGTCGACATTGATGCCATTCGAGTCGCGTTATAGATGGAGCTCGGCGCACGCAAGACACGTAGAATTTTAAAGTCAAAAGAGGACTATCTACTTGCGCTTGGGCACCCAGACCCAGCGCATTTCGCACTCGACGGGGCTGTCGCCGGCCGAGTCGGTGACAACAACGTTCACGAGCACCTCGCCCTTGTCGGACTTGGCGATTTCTTCGCGCTGGGCATCCGTGAGCGTCGCAATGGCCTTGAGGTCGCCCTTGGCGCGCTTGACGTAGCTCATCGACATGGACTTAAGCAGCGGGAGGTGCGAGTCGCGCACGTTCATGCCAAAGACCATGCCCGACGCCGACTCAGCGAGGAGCGCCATGCCGCACGCGTGGACGCCGCCAATGTGGTTCTGGACGCGGAACGTGTTTTTGAGCGACACGACGCTCTTCTGCTCGGTGAGCGTCTCGACGTGGATACCGGCGACGCCGGCCATCTTGACCTGCGCGTTGAACGCCGTGCTGAGCGCGCCTTCGCGGAGAAAGGCCGGCGCGCCGCTGCTGTTGATCTTGGCGACGAGCTTTCCGAGCTTGTTCACAGGGCCAGACATGCTACTACTCGTTCTGCAAGGTCGAAAATGGATCGCTCTCGACCGGTCGCTGGCTCCCCGATCGCGTGTTTCGCAAACATTCCTTGGGTCATCCCTCAACTGCAATCTGAGCGGTTCAAACCGCAAACCGTTCGACTAGACGAGCCGAACCCATACTCTCGGTTAAGTACACGTCACCGATTGATCAAGCGCCAGGTGGTACTACGCTTGCTCTTGATAGCAACCTGCTCTGTGCTAGAGGCTATGCATATCGTATTAGCACGACACCAACGCGATGCCAAAGCCTGCTACATGTATGCGAGATAGTGACTGACTTGCGGATTCTATGACCACAAAGGTACCGCTCGTAGAGGCGGGCGGTATCATCGATGTCACATCGTCAGCTTCCAGGGACAAGACGTTGATAGCACTGCACGATCAGGTATTGAGAGGTGAGGTAAAAGGCGAAAGATTAATACGGGTAAACGCTTTACTGCGGGATGGTATTGAGAGGTGAAGATTCCAATAATATGGTCAAACTGTTTTCTTTCGGGGCCGTGAGCGGCGTCCTTCTTGAACGCGACAAGGCCGCCAGCCGATCGACCTCATTGTCACTTGTGGTACCGCGAGCATATAGAGACAAAGCACGTAAGGTAGTCCTCCTAACGATAGTACGATTACGCTGCTGGTAGCTCGGGCAACCAAGGGCCAATGGTTGCCAGCGTTCCTTGATCGCGCAATTCGCGATCTTGGCCACAAGGTCTCGCTGGAAAAAGTTTGTGGCTCTGTCCCGTACGTTCCGTACCGTCCATTGTCATGCTGCACCCAGGCGATCCGATCAATTTGAGCGTACCCACTTGATCGTACATAAATGTACGCCAATGTACGTACGCTGTCCCACCTTGTGACGGCGGGCACAGGATACCGTGGCTTCAACTTCACAGTTCATTCTGGATTTTCATCCGCCGCTGCCATGTCGAGTCCGTCGCCGTCCGCCAACACCACACTGCTACTCAGCGTCGCCGTCGCTGCTCTCACGCTCGCGTGGGGCGGGACCATGGGTCTCCTCCTGGGCCTGCACCTGCAGCAGCAGCAACCTGCGTCCAACATCGAGAGCAAGGACGGCAAGCGCACCGTCGACAACCAAGAGCCGCGTCGCGACCGTGTCGAGTCGCGCCGAGGTCGCGAGACGTCCATCACAAACGGCGAAGACGTCAAGCTCATGGACAAGCACGCCCTCGTCGACGTGCGGATTGCCGAAATCCGCCCGCTTCTGCCGCCCGCGTGCCTCCTCGAAGAGATTCCGCGCACGGTTGAAATCGCACGCACGGTCAACAAGGGCCGCCAGGGCGTCGCCAACATCCTTCGCCGCGTCGACGACCGCCTCGTTGTCGTTGTCGGCCCGTGCTCGATCCACGATGTGGAGGCGGCCAAGGACTACGGTAATACGTGCGAGTTTCTTCTTTGACGAAGATAGCTCATTCCATTTTGAATCTTGTAGCGACCAAGCTGAAGCCGATCCAAGAAGCGATGGAGAAGGATCTGCTCATCATCATGCGCGTGTACTTTGAGAAGCCGCGCACCACTGTCGGCTGGAAGGGCTTGATCAACGACCCGGACATTGACGGCACGTTCAACATCAACAAGGGTCTCCGCGTCGCGCGCGAGCTCCTCGCCGAGATCAACGAGATGGGCCTCCCGGTATGCTTATTCTTACATCTGAGGTCTTATCGCTGACGCCAATGGATTCCTAGGCGGGTTGCGAATTCCTCGACACGATTTCTCCGCAGTTCTTTTGCGACCTCGTGAGCTGGGGCGCGATTGGCGCGCGCACGACCGAGTGCCAGCTCCATCGCGAGCTCACGTCCGGCCTCTCGATGCCCATTGGCTTCAAGAACGGCACGGGTGGGTCGCTGCAATTGGCTGTCGACGCCGTCGTGTCGTCGGGCCACCCGCACTGCTTCCTCTCGGTCTCGTCGCAGAGTTTGGCGGCAATCGTCAAGACGACGGGCAACGATTGCTGCCACGTCATTCTCCGTGGCGGCAGCACCGGTCCCAACTACGCGGCCGAGCACGTGGAGAAGGTCTCGGCGCTCCTCAAGAAGGTCAACCAGCCCCAAAACGTCATGGTCGACTGCTCGCACGGCAACTCGAACAAGGACCACAAGAACCAGCCGCTTGTCGCTGCCGACCTCGTACGCCGCCTCTCCAATTCGCACACGATTTCTCACCTCTTTGTAGGCGCGTCAGATTGCGGCGGGCGACGACCGCATCTGCGGCATCATGCTCGAGTCCAACATTGTCGAAGGGGCGCAAAAGCTCATTCCGAACGCGCCCTTGGTGTACGGCCAGAGCATCACGGATGCCTGCATCGGCTGGGAAGACACGGTACGCAATGGATTCTAGATCTGGTCTTTTCTCATCTGCGTGTAGCTCTCGACGCTCGAAGTGCTTGCGGACGCGGTGCGCCAGCGCCGGGCGGTCCACAAGGCCAACAAGTAAATAGTGTAGTTGATGATTATCTAACAAGATCCAATCCTTGCCGATGGCTACTACCGTGCGTTCTGGGAGCTCGAGCCGCGCTTGGCGCTCCGCATCGACTGCAGCGGCGCGCGCGAGAAGGGCGATATCACACGCGCACTCGCCTCCTTGAGCGCCGCGAGCTTGGTGCGCTCTTCGTCGTACTCGTCCTGCAGCACGGCTTTTTCAAGGGCTGCCGTCGTCGCCGGCCTAGGCACATCATTAGCCTCGACATGCGAGCGAGACTCGAATGCGTACGCGGGCTTTGCATCGTCGTCGTTGAACTCGTCAATGGTCATCGCACCATCATCTTCGTTGACCGAGCTCGGTCTTGTCTTGGGCGCATCGTCGACAGGTGCTTGTATCGGCTCGGCGCTCGGCTTGGCCTCGTCGTCGTCATCCGTGGGTTTGGCAGTCGCCTTGGCATCGTTTGTAGCCTCGCCCCTGGTGGTCAATGATGCCTCGGCGTCAAGCTCTTCGTTTGGCCGATGCTTTGCCAGCATTTCTTGCAGCATTTTGCGCGCGAGGGCCGCGCGCGCAACCGACTGAATGGACGTCGCGGCCTTCGCCGTCGCTTCCTTCTCTTTGGCGGCCGCGGCATCGTACTGCGAGACACTCACGTCGTGGATCATGCTGAGAAGACCGGCGATGCGCGCTTGGACCTCGGGTGGCTGCGCCTCGCGCGCCGCCGTGAGCTGCTTCATGGACGCTTCGTACGCGTCTTTCGAGAGCTGCCTCGGAATCCGGTCTGTCGACTTGCCGACTTGGAAGGCGACGAGCTTGGCGTGGAGCGCGTCCGTGACCTTGCGCCTGTGCACCTCGGCGAGCGTCGGCTTGTGGGCAATGACCACCTGCGGCGCTTGCAGTTGCGCGAGCCGCGCGTCGACGAGGCGGTCAATGCGCCGCGACGATGCTTCGCGCCGAGCAAGCATGCCCCGAGCAGCGCTTTGAAGCCGTACGAGCGCTGACAGCACGGTTGCACTCTCGGGTCGCACGTGCGCTGGCAGCGTATCCGTGCGCAAGCTCTACACCCCGCAGTTTGTATCAACGTGATACATAGCGCATCCTACTTGAATCTGGCCCTTCTGCGTGGCCAAGTCGTGCACGAGCTCGTCAATGACCGCAAAGTGGTGCGCATCGTCGTGAATGGCAGGAATGATTTCAATCTCCAAGTGCCCGTTGGTCTCAAACACCAAGAAGGACCCGGGCAACTCGTCGCCTACCAGATGCCATCAGCTAACATCCGCAGACAAAGGGGATAATACCAGAGTGGACGTCGTGCAGCAACACGCGATGGAGGTCAATGTTGCCGAGCTCCGAGGCGATGACGCGGCGCACGTCGAGTGCTGTGGTGTTGGGCGTCACGGGCACTGTCACATCGTGGCCTTGCAGGCGGAGATGCCAGCTGTGTGGATGCGCGAGGCGTGACCGCGTGAGGAAGCCCATGGTCACTCGACGGATGGTCGTTGCCGCAGCATGTAGACGACGCAACTGCGTATCTTCGCTTGGCGCTGACACCGGTTCTCGTACTTCAGGCGTTGGTGGTGCTTCTTTTTCCGCTGGCGGCGTCTCGATTTCAACAGGCGGTGGTGTCGCAGCCACCGGTGCGGGGGCCGGTGTGGGCGGCGGTGCTTCCACAACCATAGGTTTTGGCGGTGCTGCCGTTGTTAGTACCGGACTCGGGACGACTTCAGGCACTCGGATCGACGGTTGCCGCACTAGACGCGGTGGTGGTGCTTGCTTGGGCTCTTCCGCGACCACAACTGGTGGTGCCGGTGCCGGATCTCGCTCGACGACCACGACGGTGGGTGCTGCGGAAGGCGGGAGTCCGTAGTCGAGACCGTACTTTTGCGCTTCGAGCGCCATCAAGTGCGTGAGCGTGAGCTCGTTGGTCGTTTGCTTTTGCTTTTCGTCGAGGAGTTGCTTTTGCAGCTGGAGCTCGCGGGCCGCCCACTCGCGCTGCTCGGCCTCGAGCTGAAGGCGCCGCTCGAGCTCCTTCTCTCGCTGCTTCATGAGGTCTTGCACCATCTCGCGCGTGAGCTTCTCGTCCGTGTCTTGCACGACGTGACCAATGTGGTCGGCGGCCCGCGGCTTGGCCTTGAGAATTTCCTCGGTAAAGTGCATCCACTCGGACTGCGTCTTGGCCTGCATGTCCTGCAGCGCTTGCTGCATGCGCGCCATTTGCTCGACGATGCTCTGTGCAAAAGTGTGTTGTTGCTGCTGGAGGAGCTGCGTCTCTTTCGCGCGCTCCGACTTGTCCTGAAGGAGCTGCGCCTGCAGCGTCTCGAGCTGCTTGGTGAGCGCCGTCGTGTTGGCGGCCACCAGCGCCGACACCATGCTGACATCGGGCACGGTGGGCTTGGCTGGCTCGACCACCATCGGCGGCGGCGTCTCGATCGGCGGCGGTGCTTGCACGGGCGGCGGTGCTTGTACGGGCGGCGGTGCTTGTACGGGCGGCGGTGCTTGTACGGGCGGAGGTCCCTAGGCCGTAGATGATGACGCTTCCATAAGTATGAGAGGCGACGCACCGGCTTGGTCGCTTTGAGTTTGCTGTAGTCGTCAAAGTGTTTTTCTTTTGGTGCTTCACGAGGTACTCGGTCGAGAGAAACTTCTTGTTGCAGAACACGCAGTCGACGGCTACGAGACTTTGATACATCGTAGCGGCGAGTACAAAGGACGTACGCGCGGATGCTGGCGACGTCGAGGGCACGGATGCGCTGCGTTGCTGCGTGAGGAGCATCATTTCAAAGGTCGCAATCGTATTCTGCTTTTGTTGGATTTCTTGCTTGAGCAACTTCACTTCAGCATCGAACTTTTGATTCTCGGCCTCGAGCGTCTTGCAGTCGGCTGCGACGTGGTCACACTGCGTCTCGAGGTCCTCCGTGTGCAGCACCAGTGACTCTTGGACGTTCAAGAGGTACTCGACGGTCAGCTACAATGTCTTCTACGAGCCAAGACAAGGACCGCGCACATACCTGCGCGACTTGGAAGAGCTTGAGAAAGTACTCGTCCGAATACTGATTGACGTCCTGGAGCGTCACGTCCGAGAAAGCCAGGTTCTCCAAGTGGTTCTATTCGGCCGGTCTCTGTACGTTCGGCGCCAAGAGAGCGCGTACCTGAATTGTGTCAATGTCGGTCTCCCGCACGACCTTGTTCAGGTCGATTTGGGCGATGGTCCGCGTGTCGAGCTTGCCTTGGCGCTGGCGAAAGGAGAAAGGCCGCGGTGGCAGCTGGATGGCTCGGCGGTTCTGCATCGCGCGGTTGTAAGCCATGGCCATCGGGTTGGACTCGGGCCGGCGACGGGTCTCATGGCGCTTGTGGAAGGCCGAGTGAAGCTGTGTCAGCGGTGAGAAGAGGCCCGTGGAAGGAAGTCCATCGCGTGCATATCGACCATCGCCATGTAGCACTTGTCGCTCGGCTCGTGATCCTGGCTGCCGCAGGTACCGGGGGTCCATGGCCACGCTGCCCTCCATGCTGCAATTTCGAAATGGTCGCGATCTTGAGGCGTTATAGCCAATCAGAGATGCACAATGGCAGGATCGAGGTTGTAATTGGTTGAAATGCGTTGCCACCAGTTCCCGAAACAAGAGAACTGCGTTGGCTGCACAATCCCAAGCACGAGGTGACTTCGGCTCGCAAGCGCGGCAGAGTTCTAACGCCAAGCCTTCGATAAAGAAATTCGCTGCCGTGCTCGGTAGATTCAAAAACGATCTTGGCGACCAGATGGGCGGGCAGCTGCACGCACGACGCCTCGATGCTCGGTCGTGCCTCGTTGCGCCTTTCGAAGGCCACGGAAGCCGCCTCGGCGAGCCTTTGCGAGTGGCATCAGCGCAAGAACCCGTGCGAGTGTCTACAGTATTGTCTATGTTTCGCCAGCTGTGTGCTGTGTGTAATTTCTAGCACGCGGCGGAGCCCAGACTGGTGCATCCTAGGTGCAAAAGCGATGGCGTATCTGCGAGGATCCAGACCGTCCGTCCCAGTCGCCAAGCACCAGTGGTTCTGGGATGAGTCGGCGCCTCGGTCGTACTGCCGGGAAGCCCAACGGGCATGCAACTTGTCCCGTGATGTCGTGCAACGGTGGTCGCTGGTTCGATTTTCTTCAAGATACTCGCATGCCATTGGTCCGCTATAATCCGAACGACCAATGAAAAAGCGCGACGAGCGTATCCGGCGCATCCGGCCGTGTTTCGGCGAAAAAAGCTCGGCGCACGACCGTGGCATTCCGCAACTGGTTCAACGTGCCCAAGATGTCGCGCCTCCTGCTCGCTCTGGCGACGGCCGTCGGCCTCGCAACCGCTCAAGTCCCGATCCCGGCGTCGCCGCCCGGCTTTACGTACGCCCAAGGCAGCGCCGACGCGCATATCCAGCTCGACATGTTCATCGACCTGCTCTGCCCCGACAGCAAGGCCGCGTATCCGGCACTGCAACAAGTGGCGGCCAACCTCTCGTCGAGCGCGTTCCGCCTGCGCTTCCATCAGTTCCCGTTGCCGTACCACCACAACGCCTACTCGTTTGCGCAGGCGAGCCGCACGATCGCCCACGCACTCGGCGACGACACCTTTACGCGCTGGATGGAGGCCGTCTATGCCAACCAAGACGCGTATGCAGTATTATCGAAGCGTAGAGAGGTGATGACCATCTCGTATGAGTAGGTACTGGAACAAGGCCACGGAGACGCTCGGCCAAAAGCAAGTGACGGCCCAAATCGGTGCCCTAGCCAAGAAGACGTTCCCGGAGCTCACGGATACGCAGTGGGCCGAGGGCATGACCGGCCACGGCGGCACGCAAATGGACGTGGACACGCGCACGGAGTGGAAGTATGCGTGCACACGTGGCATCTCGGGCACGCCCATGTACCTGGTACAGTTTCTGGACGATGCCGGTCCCTCATGCGTCAGGTGATAGCTGAACGAAGTGCCATTTGACGCCGATGCGTCATGGACGTACGACGACTGGATGAAGGCGCTGGCGCCGCTCTTGTCGGGGGCCGAGACGATCAAGAACGACGCCAACGTGCGCAGCGTCGGAGTGCCCCACGACGCGGCTGTCGACCCGCACCACGGCTACGAGTTTCTCGCGTACATGGGCGTCGGGACCGTGCTCGGCGTCGGAGTGCTCTTGGCCGCCCAGCGCTACGATGCGGGGTACCAAACGTTGAGATGAGATCTGAGAGTCGTCGTTTTTAAGTCCACACTCCAACATGTCACCGGGATGCTTTGAGAGCTCCGTGGACGCTGCCGCTGTCTGGCGCCAGATTCGATCCGGGCTCATCCCATGCACGTGCCCAAGACCAAAGACCGTCCGGCAAGTGGCCTGACGTCGGAAAGTGCACCCAATTGAAAGGCCGGCGCTTCCTTTGCCTTCGCGGCGGCCTCGATGCGATGTACGCAACCGCCTACGCGACCGCAGCCACGCCCACGTTGCAGTGAAATCCACGTGGTTCGAGCGTGCGCCGATACCTGGCGCTCGTTGGTGTAAATGCGTAGCGTCGGCGGCGGCTGTCACGTGCAAAAGGCCGCATCCGTGGATGAGTGCAACACTTCAAGCGCCCTCTCGCTCTAAAGATACTACGCAGGTGGCAGGGACAGCGCACGACGTTCGATGGCGTCGTTGGCGGCGGCGGCGGGCGCCAGGATGCGGCCCACGCCCATGCAGTGGGTCGCGTCGGATGGCGGGGCAGCGTGGCGCGGGTGCGGCCAGCCATCCGGCAGCAGCTCCGGCGTGGCCAGCCAAAGGTCGGGCTGGGACACTTCTCTCTGTGACTGCATCAAAAAGCCCACCACAAGAATCCTGGTGGATCTATTTTATCCGGATGGCATACGAAACCCAAGTGAAGTGGCACGTGCCACATCTATGACCACACGCGGCAACCGGATTTGGATTGCCAAACTAAGGATTTCGCCACAAATCCATTCTCGCTGAACTAGGAAGATGCTGCACGCGCGCCGCCTTCTCCGCTCCACGAAGCTCCAGACCCGCGCCATGTCCTGGCTCAAGGACGTGCCCATGGGCCCCGCGGACCCGATCTTGGGCCTCACCGAAAAGTTCAACAAGGACACGGACGCCCGCAAGGTCTCGCTCGGCGTCGGCGCGTACCGCGACGACAACGGCAAGGTACGCTTCGCCGCCTCTCGCCAGTGGCTCATGTATGTGGCTCTAGCCGTACGTCCTTCCGTCGGTCTGGGAAGCCGAGAAGCGCCTCATTGACGCCAAGAAGAACAAGGAATACGCTGGCATTGCCGGTATCAAGGAGTTTGTCGACCTCTCCTTGAAGTTCGCCTACGGCGACAACTCGAAGGCCATTAAGGATGGCCGCGTCACCGGTGTCCAGGTACGCTATCCATGAAGCGCTGCGATAGAAATCTTATCGTGCATCGCATTTAGACGATCTCGGGCACGGGCGGCTGCCGTCTCGCTGGCGAGTTCTTTGCCCGCTTCTTGGGCAAGAACACGCCGATCTACTTGCCGAACCCGACGTGGGGCAACCACATTCCGATCATGAAGGATGCTGGCCTCGACGTCCGTCGCTACGCCTACTTTGAGCCGGCCTCGCGCGGCCTCAACTTTTCGGGCTTGATGAGCGATATCCAGGGCGCCCCCGAAAAGTCGGTGTTCCTCCTCCACGCGTGCGCTCACAACCCGACGGGTGTTGACCCGACGAAGGAGCAGTGGGCTGCGATCTCCAAGGCCATGAAGGAGAAGAACCATGTCGTCTTCTTTGACTGCGCGTACCAGGGCTTTGCCTCGGGCGACGCCGACCGTGATGCTGCCGCCATTCGCCAAGTACCGTACCACAATTGTCCTCTATTCAAGCTCACGCCCCTGTGTAGTTTGTCGAGGACGGCCACAACATTGTCTTGTCGCAGTCGTACGCCAAGAACTTCGGCCTCTACGGTGAGCGCGTCGGTGCGCTCAGCGTCGTGTGCAAGGACGCGGACGAGGCTGCGCGCGCCGAGTCGCAGCTCAAGATCCTGATCCGCCCCATGTACTCGAACCCGCCGATCCACGGCGCGCTCCTCGTCTCGACGATCCTCGGCGACGACAAGCTCAAGCGCCAGTGGTACGGCGAGTGCAAGAGCATGGCCGATCGCATCATCTCGATGCGGTCGCTCCTCAAGGCCAACATTGCCAAGATTGACGGCTCGACGACCGAATGGAACCACATTACGGACCAGATTGGCATGTTCTGCTACACGGGCCTCACGGAGCCGCAGGTCGACCGCATGATGGCCAAGCACCACATCTACTTGACCAAGGACGGTCGCATCTCGATGGCCGGCGTCAACTCGAAGAACGTCGAGTACATTGCCGAAGCCATCGCCGAGGTTGTCCAGCACGCGTAATTCAAACTTGAAGTGTACTTTTTTAAGGCAATTCACGACCCCATGTGTTGCCCCTCCCACTGTATGAGCCGGCTCGTGGGACTGGTACCGGTACGCAATCGGGCGATGGCTGCAGAAGGGGCAAAGACTGCGCACGTGTGAAGAACGCACCAGCGCGCGGTGAACCCAGCCGGTGACGCGGGCAAGGCCGACACGATCATACTACCAAGCGAGCCTTGTCGACCGAGTTGAGTGTTGCAGCTGATGAGGCTCTTCTTGGCAGCCGCCGACAGGCATGCGGCAGGATGACGCCGACAGAGACGAGGTCGCAGGAGGTTCGAGCGAAATCACCGACAAGTGCGCGGTTTTGAATAAGGTATACACATATACTACTGGTAGATAAGACAAGACGGCGCCTACAGCTCGACACTCTCGAGCACGTCGTCGTCGTCGTCGTTGTCGTGGTCGGTGATGAACCCAACCTCATCTGGCAAGCACAGTTCTTGGAACGTGTCGTCAATCATCGCACTTGCTTCGAGGTCGTCGTCCGGCAGCGACGGCACCCACAGCGGTGACGAGAGGCAGCTGTGCTGTGCGTCGTGCTCGTGCTCGTCCTCGCCGTCGTCGGGCAGCGTCGCAAACTTGAGCTGTCGCTGCTGCCGCTTTGCATGGAACCGCTGGATGCGCTGGCGCCGCGTCTGCGGCGAGTAATTGCCGACTCGGCGCGGTGCGCTCGCTTCGTTTCGTGTCGTTTTTGGGTCCATCGAGCGGCTTGGCCACGTGAGCGAGATGCGCGGGTGGCACTGCGTGGGTGGCGGCGACTCGGGCGCCGTCGGTGAGAGCGCCAAGAAGGCCTCGTACTTGAGGCCGAAGCTAGCGTCGAGGTACCAGAGGTCGTCGGCGAGGCAGCGCGCGGCGGGCAGGCAACAGGAGACGAGCGCATGCTGCTGATGATCGCGTTGTCGGATGCTCGATGTCGTTTTTTAGAAATGATCTGACGGCAACAACCATGTCGCGTTGAATCTGCAAAAGGGGGTTCTCGCGCGGAAATAGTGACAAAAAGGGGTACGACCGTTGCTGCTTCGGCAATCTCCGCCGCACGCCAGCGCACTCGCACGCGCCGTCGCGCCGCGGATGGGTCGCGGCCAGTGTTATCAGGCGAATGGTTATCGATGTCAGCCCAGACGGTCCGCGGGGCGACCGCCTTTGTCGACAACGTACCCTAAAATGACAAGTGGGAATTCCGGGGTTGTTCGAAAAATCACAAGCGATGGCCGTCGTCCCACACCGAGTAGCATCTACGGTACGGAGTAGCTGCGCATCGTGGTTCCATGCAAACCACCGGTTGCTTCTTCGCTCCTTGTCGAGAAGATCACAGACCCATGGCGAGGTAGACCTCGAAAATGGCCACACTAAAGTCCTGGAAGAGCCAACGTGTCTGCGATGGTATTCGTAGCTCGCGACCATGGGAGGTGTCCCTCGTCGACAGCAGTTGATCGCTGTAGCCAGTCGCGTCGCGGCTAGGTGTTATTATAATATTGCTGGTTCGTTTAGCGATCGGTCCGTTGTTTTCGGATATTCATCAAGTGGAGTGTCTATGCTGCACCTCAGCCTTGTTTCTGGCCCCGCGGGCGCACGCGCGTCTTTTGCTTCCTTGCATACTGAACGTAGCGTGCAATCGCTTCGTGGCCCAAGAGCTTCTCGAGTGTGTTGTAGTCTCTTGCGAGCGCCTTGTTGTCCTCCGTGGCGTGGATCTTGGAGTGGCATTGCCGGCAAATCAGAATCGTCCGGTTGAGGTACTCGCGGCTGAACCCACGCTGGAGAAACTTGGCGTGGCACTGCCGTGGCACGAGGTGGTGCGCTGTGAGGTTCATGCCTCGTTCGCAGAGCTCGCAGCCGTACACGCCGTCAACATCGCTCTCTGCAATGTCGTCGGGCAGCACGACCAGCGAGATGGGTACGTCCTGGCGCTTGTCGAACTCGATAAAGTTGACTTGGATGCATTGCTTCGTGGCCACGTCTTCAACCGACGTGATCTCTGCCTCATGCCACTCGTCGTCTTCCTCCAAGATGGCCAAGCACGTGCTACCTACGACAAACGGCGATGTCGTTGGCGCAGGCGGCGGTGGGTACAGCACGTCATGCAGCCGCGCCTGGGTATCTGAGATGAGCGACCGGATGTCCGCGGTTGGGTCCAGCTGCAGCGTAGGCTGCGCGTCCAATAGCGTTTCCTCAATGGCGGAGGCTAGGCACTGCGCTCGCACTGCGTCCGGCTCGAGCGGCGTGGCCTTCTTCTTGCGTGGCTTGGCCATCGTCGTCGTGTAGGCATCTTCCCAGGCCGCCAGCACGAGCTCGACGACGTAGTCGACCATGGCCTCGTCGATTCTGGCAGCGACAAGGCCATCGCGCAGGGCCTCTTCCACAGAGCACACTAGGGTCTCGTCCATGAAGCGCCGCCTTGGGTAATCAGCCGCGCCGATGCGCGAGCAGTTGGGTTTCTTACTACCATCATTCACGCCCACTCACAAGAATGTATATTCATCCACCAAAGTTTACACTCCAAGCAATGTACTTAACGGGATAATCCTATCCTACTAAGACTGCGAAATAGCTCAATATGCGTCGTTAACAAGAAATGAACTTGTTTCGGCGGTGTGGGCCAATGGTATCCGGACGCTTGAAACACCCAACTTGGCATCCTGGAAGGCAGCCGAAGACACACCACGAGGCGGCACTGCGCGCGTTGCGGGATCTCATTGATATCCCTGCATCTCGGCATTAATGACATGTCTTTCAATTGCTGTATGTGTGGCTAGCATATCGAGTCGCACGTTTGCATGAATCCCATCAAGTGCACAGAACTCCACTCGCCTCCTGCGCACACTGCGCTCTCACTAATGTGGGGTGTGTTTAGAATGCATGTGTCGTCGTGGCCGTGTCCGGATACCATGTGTCATTGGTCGGTCTCATTCCAGCACGTCAACCTCACACCATGGAGTACATTGGCATTGACCTCGTGCGTCCAGGCTTCCATCGTCGAGCAGCCATGGAACCTCTAATGCTGCTCTGTAGGGGTCCCAGCGCTGCGTCGTCGCGCGCCCGTCGGGCGAAATCGTTCTCAATGAATTGGGCGGTATGACCACGGCGACGCTCGTGGCTTTCAAGGACAAGGAGCGCTTGCTTGGCGAAGCCGCCGTCTTGTCGTCGAGCACGAACCCGGCCAACACTGTCGACCATATCAACATGTTCCTCGGCAAGTCGCACCAAGAAGTCCTTGCACAGATGACCGCTTATCCGTGCCCGCGTGCCACGTATGTCCAGACGGCGTCCGGCGAGGCTGCGGCGCAGGTCCAGTACAACGACGGCGAGAAGCTCTTCACGCCGGTGCAGCTTCTGGCCATGGTCTTTGGCAAAATCGGGAGCAACGTCAAGACCACGCCGCTCGAAAACATCCGCGTAGGTATCGCAGTCCCGAGCGGGTGGGGCGACGCGGCGAAGCGTGCCGTTCTCCAAGCGGCCAAGATTGCAGGCTTTGGCGCGGCCGGTGTCGTTGGCCACGATGCTGGTGTGGCCATTCGACGCACCATATTCTTGTGATCTGAGCCCGTGTCTGTAGCTCTTGCGCGCTGCTTCCATCGCAAGCACCCGATCAAGGACGAGGCCGAGATTAAGACGATCATGATTGTCGATGTCGGCCACTCGACGACGAACGCGGCGGTGGTGCGCCTCAACGGTAGGCTCTTTCCGACAGGCCAGCGTCCTCACTGACGAGTAGCGACGGGGGAAACGGTGCTGGCGCATGCGTACAAGGGCGACCTCGGCTCGGTGTACGGAGTCATGTCACGGCCACGTCCACTCTTCTCACTGCGAGTGTTGTAGCAACTTTGACAAGTCGATTTTCCATCACTTCCAGGCCAAGCTCAAGGCGTCCCACGGCCTCGACATCCAGGGCCACTCGCGCCAGGGCCGCCGGCTCCTTGCGGCCTGCGAGCAGCTCAAGAAGCTCCTCTCAACGATCCCGGAAGCCATCGTCCAAGTCGAGAACCTCGGCAATGACTGCGACCTCACGCTCACGCTCACCAAGACTGAGTTTGACGCGCTCAACGCCGCGCACGCGTCTGCGCTTGAGCAGCTGCTTACGGGCCTCTTGGCGTCGGCGAACGTCGCAGGCAGCGACTTGGTCTCGGTCGAGATTGTCGGTGGCGGTACTCGCAAGCCACTTCTCCAGGCCGCGATCGCCAAGGCTGTTGGCGACAGTGTACCGTTGGGCCGCATGCTCGACAGCGCGACTGCGGTCGCGGTCGGCGCGGCGTCGGCCGAAGACCTCTTGGCGACGCAGGACGTCGACGTGTCGCCCGAGTGGATCGCGCTCGAGAAGGCGATGCAGGCGCAGGACGAAGCCAACTATCTCCTCGCCAACAAGCGCAACGAGATCGAGACGTTCGTGTACGAGATGCGTGGCAAGGCGAGCCAGAAGCACGGCCACCTCATCGACTACAGCGTGCTCAACCCGTTCTTGGACGCGGCCGAAGACTGGTTCTACTCGGAAGAAGCCGAGGTCGCGACGCTCGAACTCGCCACGCAGCGCGTCGCGCAGCTCAAGACCGTACGACCGCCGCTTCGGACGGCGACATGTCTCATCTATAGCATTAGGACATTACGAACGCGTGCAGTGCCTACTTTGCGGCTGTCGCCAAGGAAGATGCTGCGCTCGAAGCGCACTTGGAGGCTGAGTCGGCCAAGGCAGCGCTGGAGGTCAAGGACGACGACGACCATGACTTTCGCAAGGTGCGTTGTTCACCGCGGGCCACGTCGATTTGACATTGTCTCTGTCTGTAGCTCAAGACGCCGGACCGTATGCGCCTCGTCATGAAGAACAAGGTGCGATCCGTTGCCATGTTTACACGATTACGACCGGCTGACCGGCTGTAGGACGAAGGCAACGAGCTCTTCCGTGGCGGCAACGTGCAGCACGCCGCGGCCCGCTACGTCAAGGTGCCCCTCCAACATTGCCTCATCGTATACCATGGTGTAGGCGTTGACGCACGCGTCCAAGTTTTTCGATTTGCGCCCGGAAGACGCGGCCGAAGTCACGGCGGTCAAGCTGAGCTTGTACCTGAACCTGGCGCAGTGCTACCTCAAGCTCGAGGCGTACCAAAAGGCCGTGTCCAACTGCAAGGACGCGCTCGACCTGGACGCGACCAACACCAAGGCGCTCTACCGCCGCGCGATTGCGTACGAAAAGCTCAAGGACTACGAGAAGGCCCACGCCGACATTACGGTATCGCGTGCATCGACACCGCTTCTTCAGCGCGCGTGGTGTGTGTGTAGGAAGCCCACCGGTTGACGCCGGAGGACCGTGCGATCGTGCTCTGCCACGACCGCCTGAAGGCGTACATGAAGAAGCAAGCCGAGAAGGAGAAGAAGATGTGGTCCAAGGCGTTTGCCTAGTTAGTCTAGTCCTTCGACCTGCGTTTGGCCGTGCCGCCGCGGTAATGTACCTTGTACTACGTATCGAGACCCATCCGCGTTGTACGTCTTCTTCTTTGTATTGAACGCGTACATCCGTCCCTCCCAAGAATCGAAAGATAGCGCGCGGGACGTTCGATCCGCTGGCGATCCATCTTCGGTTCCAACGCCGCTGATTGGTCCGTCCTTTCTTGTTATTCGGCGCCGAAACGCCGCGTATGGCGCGGACCCCTCCCTTTACACTTGATGTTTGTATGCGACGTCGCTTGGGCGTGGCCTTTCAGAAGATATCGAAACCCACGAGCAAAGCATTGCAATCCATTAAATAGCTTGCAATTTGTATGCAATTTAATCTTGGCGCCGCTGCGGTTGTTTCGGGGGTTTCGCCAACGAACGCTGCGGCGCGCGGCGGGTGTCGACATTCATTTTCAGATATCCGCGATCATGGCCGAGAGCAGCAGCAGTGACAACCAGCTGCCGTCGCCGACGAAGGACGTCGTCATGCACGACGAGACCGCCGACGACTACGACGACGAGGACGACGAGATGATTGACGTCGACTACTACAGCTCCGACTCGGAGGTCGACGAAGATGTCGAGCCCGAAGTCGACTCGTTTGGCAACTTGACGCTCAACAGCGCGAAGAAGTGCTCGGTCGACGACTGCCCGCGGGGCGCCAAGCGCGGCGGCCTCTGCATCGCTCATGGCGGCGGCCGGCGCTGCCAAGCTGCCGACTGCCAAAGCAGCGCGGTCGGCGGTGGCTTTGTATTACGCACGGTGGCGGCAAAAATGCAAGTTTGCCGGATGCGAAACAGCGCTCGGTCCCGCGGTCTCTGCCCGCGC